CGGTGCGCTGATAGAGCTCGGCAAACGGAAGGAATCCCCTGGTGGAGAAGAAGGCGGGGCAAGGTCCAAGGGGCGCAAGCTGGCAGAGGCAGCGGACGACGCAGAGGACACACTGAACCAGGTCGAGAATGCTCTTCGAGGAAAAGACGTTGCTGCGGCGCTCTCCCTCCTCCTAAAAGGTTTCTGCATGCACTCACAGCTGCTACGCGACGTGGCGGCAGTGGTTTGGGTAAGCGTGATCCTCCCGTCGATCTCGCCGATTATTGTGGCTTCCAGGGCCGCTGGAAAGCTCTACGCCGAGGCGGCTGGACTTCCCTCGGTGAAGGACAAGCTTGGACCACCTCATTTACACATAGCGCGCGCAGGGTTCAAGTGTCTAGTGGAAGCCGAATCGAGCACCAAGATCGGGGGGGAAGCGCTGGAAGTGGTACAGTTGTTCTACAGCAAGTTCGTACAGAAAGGATAGATGCAGGAGCTCGGATTATCGATCCGACACCACCGCTGCAAGAAGTGCTACAACGAGGACATGACACGCCTCCAGTTCGCCATAGTGGACGGGGCCAACCTGCAAAGCGACAGCGGCGAGCCCACAACCTACTCAAAGCTGATGATCGAGAACGCGACGGTGGTGCTGCTCAGGGGCATGGGCGGGACACTCAAGCAGGGGACGGCGCCGCAGGGTCACCTCGAGAACCTCGCACAGAAGATGCTGGACAAGCACAAGCTGGGCGGCAAGGGCAGAGGCAAGAAGTCGACGGCGTGACATGGGAGATGCGACTGGCGGCTTTGCAAGCACGTATTGCGGCAAAGGAGCTGGCAAAATCCTAGGCGATGCCTAGGTTCAGACGTCGCCATGTTTTCGCCATACGCCTCGAAACAAATCCTGAGCTTCCTCAGGTTCAGTCGCCATGACGCTGGACGCAGGGAAAACTCCACGCTACCTTGATTGGGAGGGTTGTCTTTACATAGATTTTCATTGATTGGCTGTTCTCGGACGTTGACCACGCCCAGCTGACCTCCACTGTCGGCCAGATCGGGAACCCAGATCGTAACCTCTTGCTCTGGTCCCCCCTCGCCGCGATGGGCATGGCAATGGCTGTGTTCTGGTTCGTTCAGCCCTTCGACATCTAACCTTGAGGCCCCGCCCGCCACGCTCGACAAGGCGGGAGTGTTCGCTTTGCTGTCTACAGTCGGTATTTTCCTCTTGCGGATCCGAACCCGACGAAGGGCCCACTCCGCTTGCCAATCGGATGCCTTCGGGGCCCGAGTGTCAGGTATTGGAGAGGGTCTCTCGCCTGGGTTGCCGCTCTGACCTCCATATATATTCATTTCCTTTTTTTTTCAGGGCTGGGTGGATGCCTCGGGAGCCTGCCTGGCACACACAGTGCCGCGAGGTTTCGGCCCCTTCGGGGCCAGAGGGGTGTCCCCCCCAGCCCGCGTGTGACACTGAATATTGCGCACAGCCCCGATACACACGTGTCGAGCGCTGCACGGCGCGCGTAACCCGTAACCTCGCATAGTAGATATGCGATCGTTTGAGGTTGTAGTTTTGCACGCGTATCACACCATGTGTAGAGCTGCGTCATCCCAGCACACGCGCAAGGCCGAGTCCTATCCTATCCTATCCTCCTCCTCCTCCTCATCGTCGTAGTTGCCATTGATTTTGCTTGTTGTTGCTTTTGCTTGGTTTTCCTTTTGCTTTGCCTTCGCACACACACACACACGCGCGCATGTTTTTGCATTCGCTCACCGGGTGGGCTCTCTGATCGTACTGTTGCACATTGCTTTTGTTTTGCCTTTGCTTTTGCTTTTGCTTACCTTTGCGTTGCTAGTGCTTTGCTTTGCTGTTGCTGCTGCTGTAGCTTAGTTAAGGTAAGCTAACCTAAGCTACAGCTACGCGAAGCTATGATGAAGCTAAGCTAAGCTAAGATGAGATACGCAAAGCTAAGGTAAGGGGGCGCAAGTGGGGAAATCGCGGGGCGGGGACAGGGGGAACCGCCTGGGGCGAGGAACGCTGCCCGGCCCCTTTAAGCTAATAGAGTAAGAACCCTCTAGGCAGAGCCTAGGTAGGGAAACTATGGGAAACTATGGGAAGTGGGGGGGAAGACAGGAACCCAAAATATATGGGAAAAGATTGGGAACTCTTTTATTTGTGCGTATTGACTTGCGTGTCCTAGGGCCCCTTTCAGAGCAGAAGCGATCCGGGCATTTTCCTTGGGGCGGAGGGCAAAGGGTGGAATCGGCGATGCCGTTTCGATGGATGTTCCAGGCTCGAATTCGCCAAAGGTGACTCGCAAGACGGGTCGAGCTTCGAGGTGCACAAGCCCATATGGATTTCACCCTGAGCCCCCCACCCCGAGAAAATGCCCCGGTAATGGGGAGGACGACAGGGCCTCCGCTCCCCGCCGCGCTCCAGGCTCGATTCACGAACCTGCGGCCCGGGTTTCGGCCACGTTCGCAGGACAGCAAGTCGGCTGGACGCCTACTGGTCTCTCGCACGACCTGTTGTGGTACATCGCTGTCCGTTCCCATATAATCCATGTTTTCTCAGCAAGAAACAGAGGGGAACAAAAAGGCATCCATATCAGCTACGCTCAGGAGCGACTTCTCGCCGGAGGGACCTCCTGGTGCGAGCTCGCAGGGGTGGCCCCACCGCTGGCCCGCGCGCTTGGGTATGGGCCGTTCGCGGTCCGCTGAAACCGCGCACCAAACGTCACTATTGTCTTTAGCCGGGCCTGTCCCTCTACAGGAAGCAAAAATAGTTTAGGGACGATGTTTTGACTCTTTTGAATTGTTTTTGGATATTGATTGACTATTTATATGCTTTATGTTTCGTCTAATTCGCCTGCACCGGGACGCCCGGTTTACGTGTTGCCCAGGGTCACTCTTGCGCAAAGTCGACCATACCACTACCCTTTCTCTCGTTTTCCCGTTTTCCAGTTTCTCGGGAAACCCTCGTCGCCGCCGCTGGATCCGTCCCGAGATCAAGGTCAGAACGCACCCTGCGAGAGGTCCGGGGAGTAGCGGTATCGGTGTTGTTTTGTCTCCCCAGTAGCATCTCTCGGGCGCAAGCACGATCTGGGAGGCCGTTTTTGGTCTGCGGCAGTCCTGGGCTTCGGGAGGAGTCTCGCGGGGAGTTCTATAGGGGGCGCCAGAGAGCGCCCAGGGCGCGCCAGCTCGGATCGGGCCGGAAGGCACTCCACTCACTGCCTCTGGGACGGTGGCGGATGATAGGGACATGGATCTCGGGTTTCTTATGCGCGGCCTGGTCAAGGAGTTGTGGCACCTCCCTGCCTATCGAGGGGAGGGGGTGCACTGACCGTGCCGTTCGGCACCGCGGCGTCGGTATCGTCGGCACTGCCGCTCGTAGCCACCACGCGCGGAGCAGACAGGGACGCGTTGCACGGGTTGGACACTAACACGAATGCATCATGCTTCGATGTTACGCGTGCTGGTGCAACGCAGTCTATTGCTTGGCAAGCCGCGCGGCATGTTCGTTGCATCGAAGCCGAAAATCATAACCACCCAGAATCGCACGCTCAGGCCGTGTTGCGTGAGCCTTGAATCTACCAGGGTTAAACCCCCAACTCCGTTGAATGCAACTCCCGCCACCAAATCGCAGCATGACGCGCGACTGTCCTTGCAGAAGGAGCCGCCGCAGGAGCTCCCTGCCTCCTTCCAGCCTCCCCATGCCATCCCCATCCATAGGATTCCTTAGGAAATCCATCGGATGAATCGAACGGATTCCATAGGATTCCCCATCGGCCGTGCGGAAGAAGGCCCTCGGGACTGTTCGTTGAATCTCTTCGTTCTCAAGCCACCATTCGGGTCTCCAGCGGCTTCTCGGTACGATCGAAGCACGCCCAGAAAGCTCTCGGCGAGGCGCAGTTGCTGGGAAGCACCCCGAGACAACCGCCGAAAACCAACTCGAACGCCCGAACTCCTCGAACCTCGAACCCGAAATGTCCCCCCTCCCTCCTCCCAGCCTCCCCCCGCTATCCCTGGCCACCTCTGATGTGGCCACCTGGGAGAGAAGGCCCTCGGAAGGGAAGGCCAAGAGGGGATGATGACCGGGGCCTAGAATTAAGTCGGGCCTGTCCCCCTACAGGGGGATTTTCGACGAGAAATAAAGAATACCCCAACAATAATCAAAACATATTCCAAAAATAGTCTGTGGATTATGTTTTGAGTATTTGTTTGTCTTTTTGGGGTATTTTGGGGTACTTTCTATTTTTCGGCGAGAATTCCCCTGTAGGGGGACACGCCCGACGTGAGCCTAGAGGGGGGGGTAGATCTCATGGCCGGGGCCATGGTATCTGTCCAGGTGTCGTGGCCCCCTCTTCCCATGTTGATGCCCTGGCGTCCCGTGGGCCGCGCAGGTGCCTGGGGCCGTGCTTTTCGACCCCCCCTTCTTGGACGCCCTTCTCCTGGACGGCCCCGATCCTCCACGCCAGGGCTCGAGCTGCGCGGTGTTCTGGCGATGTCGTGGGCCACTTTCGTCTTGATGCCGTTTCGCAGCAGAGGCGTGGCGCAGGACAGGACGAAGGACAACCGAAACGAGACGCACACGAAAAGCCCCGTCGAGCTCGAGCCTTGCTCCACCCCTCAGGGTTCGCTTAGATTCCTCCGATTCGATTCGACTTCGATGGCCTCCGATGCCGATACGATTCGACTTGCGATTGCGATTTGGGTTTCGATTTCTCATTGGAGCCTGACTACTCTGCCGAGTTCCGCTGCTTCGACTTTTTCCGACTCGGCTGCCGATTTCCGCCGATCCGATTCATTTCGATCGCCGATCCGCCTTATCGATCCGATTCTGGGCTCTCTTGCCCCTCTCGGGGGGGGAGAGCGCCGGCGGTCGAGAAGGGAGGGCGACTGCCCTCCATCCTCCTCTCCCTCCTCCATCCTCCTCCTTCTCCTCCTTCTCCATCCTCCTCCTCCTCCTCCTTCTCCTCCTCCTCCTCCTCCTCCTCCTCCTCCTCCTCCTCCTCCTCCTCTCCAAGGTGACGGGCATGCGCGGCCCCTTCGCGTGTCTGAACTCGGCGCGCCTCGGCATCGCCTGGGGCGCCTGGGGAGCTGCCGAGGAGCGCCGCGCGCCTCGCAGGGGCCTTCTCCTCTTCCTCCTCCTCCTCCTCCTCCTCCTCCTCCTCCTCCTCCTCCTCCTCCCTCCTCCTCCTCCTCCTCCTCCTCCTCCTCCTCCTCTCTCCTCCTCCTCCTCCTCCTCCTCCTCCTCCTCCTCCTCCTCCTCCTCCTCCTCCTCCTCCCCCTCCGTCCACGAAGGAGTAGCAGTCCACTCCCCAAGCAGCGCTTGCATTTGTGATCGTTTTTTATTCCATGTTTCGCCGATCGGCGCGGGCCCTCGCACCCCCTTCCTCCCCCCTCGCCCATGGAGTAGATCTTGGCTGTCTTTGGTGCCTGTTTCAGGGAGGTGGAGTCTCTGCCAGACCCCCCCCTCCCCCCCTTCCGCCCATGTCGAAGCGCCAAACAAGTACATGTTCACTGTATCCCGTGGAGGAACATTCTGGGGAGGCTTGTCCAAGGGGGAGTTGTCCAGAGCAGGTTGTCTAGATCCCCGCTTCGGTGTCCAAGGGGTTGTCCAGGGTAGGTCGTCCTGTCGTCATGAATCAGCAGGGGTTGTCCGGGTTGCTCGGGGATTTTTGTTTGATCGGATGATTATCCAATCAGAGTTTGCCTCTGTAGGGGTCCTATCAGATTTATACGTTTAGGTGAGCTTTGCCACCGATTGCCGCGGCCCGCATGGGTGCCCAGGTGCCCGGGTGCCCCGTTGCTTTATGGCCCTATAGCCCTACAGCCCTATAACCCTATAGTTATATAGCCCCATAGCCCTATAGCCTTATAGGCCTATAGTTCCATAGCCCAACAGCCCTATGGCCCTATACCCCCATAGCCCTTTTGCCCTATAACCCTACATCCCTATGGCCCTATGGCCCTTTTGCCATATAGCCCTGTAGCCCAATAGCCCCTTAGCCCCATAGCCCTATAGCACTATAGCCCTTTAGCCCTATAGCCCTATAGCCCTGTAGCCCCATAGCCCTATAGCCCTATATCCCTACAGTCCAGTAGCCTTATAACCCTATAGCCCTACAGCCCTACAACTCCATATGCCTATAGCCCTATAGCCTCATAGCCCCATAGCCCTATATTCCTATAGCCCTATGGTCCTAATATCCCTATAGCCCCATAGCCCTATTGTAATGGCCTCCGGCCAGTGCCGCCGATCCGGTGGGCTCCGGATTCGGTGATCTTCGCGGCTCTGTGGCCTCCTCCCCCCTCGAGTCTTCCAGTCCTCCTTCTTCTCCTCTGGGGGGGTGCCTGGAGCGGTCCCGGGGGGGGGTCCCAGGGAGGGTTCCGAGGTGAGGACCCCTGGGGGCGGTAGCGGCCAGATCTGACTGGGGTGCTTGGGACCCCCCGAAACGTCTTGGGGATGCGCAAATCGTTAAGAAAACACCAGATGGGGGACCGCCCCCCCCCCTCCCCTTCCCCGGGAGGGGTCGGACGCGCAAATCATGCAGAAAACGCCAAATGGGGGACCGCCCCTCCCCCCTCCTCCCCTTCCCCGGGGGGGGCCGGACGCGCAAATCATGCAGAAAACGCCAGACGGAGGACCGCCCCCCCCCCTTTTCCCCCTCCCCCGGCAGAGCCACCCCGGCGACCCCCCCCAAGCAGAGCTGAAGCTCTTGCTTAGGCTCAGAGCAAGCTCTTGCTGAGGCTCCTTGAAGCTCACACGCAGGATCGGCGGATTTAGAACGAATGTGCGCGGCGCTAAGGCGAGAGCCACATTTTGAAAACCACCCGCCCCCCATATGTGAAACTGTTGTCAATTCTAAAGCTTCAGAAGCATAAGTGGTGAGGAAGTCTCAGGGTAAACGCCCGGCCCGCCCTAAAAATTGGCCTCGGGGTGCGACAGGGAGAAGTTCCCCAGTTAGAGTTTGCCTCTTTAGTGGTCCTACCGGATTCATTTGGTCAGGTGAGCTTTGCCACCGATTTCCGCGGCCCGCCCGGGTGCCCTATAGCCTTATAGCCTATAGCCCCATAGCCCTATAGCTCTATAGCCCGATAGCCTTATAGCCTAGAGCCCTAGAGCCATATAGCTCTATAGCCCTATAGCCTTATAGACCTATAGCCCCATAGCCCAACAGCCCTATGGGCCTATAGCCCCATAGCCCTATAGCCCGATCGCCCTGGAGCAACATATCTCTACAGCCCTATAGCCCCATAGCCCCATAGCTCTATAACCCTATAGCCAAATAGCCCTATATCCCTATAGCTCTATAGCCCTATAACCCCGTAGCCCTATAGCCTTATAGCCTGACAACACTATAGCCCTATTGCACTATAGCCCTATATTCCTATAGGCTGATAGCACTGTAGCCCTATGGCCCTATAGCTCTATAGCCCCATTTCCCTATATTATCATAGCCCTATGGCCCTCAGCCCTCTAGCCCCAGAGCCTCATAGCGCCATCGCCCTATAGCCCTGCAACCCTATATCCGTATGGCCCTATAGCCCTCTAGACCCACGACCTTATGGCCATATAACCATATAGTTCCATAGCCCCATCGCCTTATAGCCCAATAGCCATATAGCCCTAGAAAGACTTTGATTGGGATTCGTCTCCAGTCTCATTCCCTTAAAAAGATTTTGCTTGGGGCTTTCCTCCGATATACATTGTAGGAGTAGTTTTTTCTCTCCCTTCAGGAACTGTATGAGTGATCTGGGTGTTCGGAACGTTGGCGCCCGTACCTAAGGTAATGTTGATGACACATGCCGTTCCTCTTCGTTGACTGTGTCCGGTGCGGCAGCAACGGACGAGCTCGAATGTGGATCTGACCATAGTGCAGTGTACGCGTCCTTTCCCGCGCCGTCTGCAGTCACCAGCACGCGGAAAATATATGGTCGACGAAGCGAGTGGGCTCTCCGACCTACGCCACCTCCTGCCGGGCGAGGCCAAGGATTTATCTTGGCATGAACTGCAAGACGCCGTGAGATCAGCCTTGCACGCTTCTGGTGCGATCCGGGGCCCAAGCTAAAGACCGGCAGCGGGACACGGCAGAGCTCAAAGGCTTGAGGAGACGACGAACATATTGCGCAAATCGTGCGGGACGTGCTGCCTTGTCGGCGGAAGTCGCCTAGAAGACGAGAAAGGCTTTGCGATGCTGGCAGACACAACAGCTGGAAGAGCAGCTTGCGAAGTTTCGGGGCCTCCACTGCCTCCGAAAAAAACATGTGCTGACTACAAGCAGCACAAGATGTCCGTCAAGTCGAAGCGGGAAGAGTTCGATTGATTTCGCAAGGATGCCTGGGGAGTTGTATGTTTCAGACCAGACTCCGGCAGACAGGGTGGGCGCGCTGCCGACGCCGAGAGTCTTGAGATGGGGGTCCACGCAAACGGGGGTCAGTCAGAGCGCCGGATCTTGCATTGCAGGATCCTGCAGGGCCACGGGTGCACTGACCTGGGCTTGGACGCAGGATCTTGCAGGATCTTGCGGGATCCTGCTCAGCCTGACCCAGATTTGGATTGACCCGTGTCAGAAGTTCCTGGAGGATGCGAGAGATTGAGTTTTTCACCGCGGAAGAGTTAGCCAACGCGCGGAAGGTTTTCTTCATGGACAAGTGCGCTGACAAGCACAGGGTGGTTTTGGAGAGGGTGGCGCAGGGTGGTGACGCCGTCAAGTGCACATTGTTGCGGAAGTACAACGATGCACTACAGGGCGGCGGCTTTTCGAGCGGCTGGCGTTAGGTGATCTTTATGATGTTGCCGAAGGGGGGTCTGACGGGCGCGCGCAATTGGCGGCCGGCTGTCATCCCCGATGTCGTCGATGAGGTGTTCGCTAACATGAGTTACAAGCGCGTCCCCCTCTGATCTGGACCCGCAAGTCACAGATGAACAGATGAGCTTCAGGACAGCTTGCGGAGTCGACGAGCCCTTGGAACGCATGGTGGGGCATCGCTGGAGTGGGATCTCCCGCTCTGGATGCCAAGAGTGGATCCCCGCAAGGCTCCCGACAAACTCGAGTGCCACGTTTTCTTTGATTCACTGACAAAGTTTGGGTCGCCACACAGTTGCGTTGTAGTATTGAAACGCACCCATTCGGATCATGTTGGGCTGCAGACGACGCGTCGTTTTCAAGTTGCCGCGGAGTCACACAAGGAGACATGTTAAGCCCGCCTTCTTGTTCAGCGGAGCAACCGAAGTCGTCGCGCGCCCGCGCGCGTGCGCCTAGGAGCTGGGCGCGGCCGCAAGCTTGACAGGCTGACGAACGTCCGCCTTGCGAATGATCTCATATTGTTTGCGAAGTCTTCGAGCGAGATTGAGGAGATGACCGCGCTGCTGGTGGGCGAATTTGCAAAAATGGGGCTTGCGGTGAATGGATCAAAGACGGAGCTTCTGACGACGGATGTCGGCGCGTCCACCGGGCCAACGCCCCAACTGGTCGACATCGCCGGCGTGTTCGCGGGAGTCCATGACAGGTCCCCCCGTAAAGTCATTGGAAAGGCTTTGCTGGAATATCTGACCTCACGAGGGCAGAAAAATATGGACCATCGCCTGTCGCGCGCGCGGGTGCGCTTCTACGAGCTTCGCCGCGCACTGCCCCACCTCAAGATGATCGTCAACATGCGCCTGCGATTGTCCGACGCCGTTGTGAGCCCGACAGTGTCGCACAGCCTCTCAACAACTCTCTCGCAGCATCTCAGTTAGCGAGATTCGATGGAGCGCAACGAAAGATGCTGAGGCGCAGCGTGGGCTGGGCGAGGCCTGACGAGGAGGATTGGCATGACACAGCGCATCGCGCGAACGGAAGACTGAATCCTGCGCGGCGCAGAGCTCGCGTGAGGGTCTGGAGCGGGGCGCACCGCAAGCAAAGGCGAGTTTGAAATTGAGAGCGTCGCATCGTCCCGCAAGTATCGTTTGTCGCGTGTACCGCTGGTCGATGAAGCCACTTGTGCCTGGTCAGGAGGCGCGCGAAAGGCGCGGCCGCCCGGCGCGCAGATGGACTGAGTGATGGCATTCGCGCGCGTGTGTGCGGGTGTGATATGGTGTAGCGTGGGGTGGTGTTTTGCTTGGTTTTGTCATTATGTGTGTGTGTGTCTGTGCGTGTGTGCCGTGCTATTGTTTTTGTACGTGATTACTTGTGCTGTGTTGTTGTGCGCGTTGCGGTGTGTGGCTGCGTGTTGCAGGAAAGCACTGCGCGTTTTTCCCTCCCGTGTCCTGTGCGCGACTGGCCTCGTAGCCGCGCGGGATCTCTGCGAGCGCGCGTTGCGTTGCAATTCGGCCCGACCGCACTCCCGCTCATGCCTTTTCATCGACAGGCGCAGCCACCCTCTGCCTAGCCGCCGACGCAACAGTGCGCGTCGCGCGTTGTGCATGCGTGCGCGCGCGTGTCTGTTCGCCCGCCCGTGCCCGCTCATGGGCGCTTCGCGGGCGCCGCGTGCGCTGGGCGGATGTCCGAAGGTTTCGCGTCGTTGGCGCCCCGTGGGCGCCCCTAGCTCTTCCCGCGCGCGCCCGCCGGGGCGCGGCCCTTGTGGGCCCAGCCCGCGCGCGCTGGCCGCGGCCTCTGCCCGACTACCCCTCGCTAGCGCGGAGCGGGAGAAACATCCTCATCATCAACATCATCATCATCGCCATCGTCATCCTACTTCGTGGCTTACACAACGCCCTCTACAACACAGGGATTGCAGCACGCAGGTTGCAGCGCAGAGGCCACGCCACATAGCTCGCATCGTATAGCAGACACAACACAGGTGACACCACAAAGCTTACAGTGCTTAGCTGCCGTCGCATAGCTGATCCCAGCTCGCACGAAAAATCACCCAGCTGACACCACACCGCTTACACATCATCGCCTACACCACATAACGCACACAACATAAGTTACACCAAATAGTTTACACAACACGCACTGCGCAACACAAGTTGTACAACATGGCGCACATAACATGGTTTGCAACACATAGCTCACACCGTAAAGCTTACACACTCAAAGTCAGACGGCATAGCTTGCACATCGTCGACATCACCCCCGCGGTTCCAACAAATCACTGTTTTGTCCGCGTTGGTTCACATGTAATGGAACAGCGAGCGCACACACATGCATTACCAGACGCGTTCCAGAATTATTCGGTCGGCGGTGCCATTTCCGAATATTCATGGCCATGCCGATTTTGTTAATAGATTCAAGACGCTGAAACAAAGACCGCGTTGGGTTCACGAGTGGGTTTTGTTCTGGTTCGGGTGGGGCTGTCGGTGAAGGTGTGCGAGGTGCGTGTTGAAATCGGCGGTGGGCCGCATGTGGACTGGGCCCTCCTGGCGGACTCCCTACAGGGCCGAGACGTGTGAGGGGGTGCCGACATGGGCGGTGTGAGGGGCGTGCCGGCATGGGCGGGGGGCCGCACGCGGGCGCGGCCATTGGGGCCTTACGTGGAGTTTCCTGTGGGTTCACGCAGCCACCCAGCGTGTGAGGTGAGCAGTGGGCATGCGGATAGCAGAGTCACGGATGAGAGGAGGGTTCGAGGGCGGAGGAAGGACGCGGGGCACTGCTGCTCCAAAGCGGGGGCCCAACTACACAGAACGGTTGGGAACAAGTGAGTACCAGGCACGCGCGGTCAGCACTGGCGGCGGCCAATGTGTTGGCCCTTGGCCCGCCACGCCATTGTGCTTGCGTCATGACGCAGACGTCTCCCCAGGGTCCTCTCGGGGGCCCTCTTGGGGGCCTCGTGGGGCCTCCTTGGGAGCGCTTGTGGGCCTGTCTGGGGGGGCTCTGCGGTGCACCTCTTCGGGGTCCTCCTGGGGCATCTTTGGGCACCTCTTGGGAGCCCCGTCGGGGGACTTCTTCGGGCGGCCTCTTGAAGGAATTGTGGGGGCCGCCTCCGGGCCTCCTGGGAGCCAGCCCAGCTCACAGGCCCCCGCGCCTCGCGGCCGGACATTTTGACCCGGACGTCGAGGCGTGCCGGCCGACCGGCTAATTTTGGCCTGTTCCGCGAAAATGAAAACCCCGTCGGGTGGCAGTCTTGCATGCCATCTGTGCATCCCTCCCCCTTGTTCCTCCTCCTCCTCCTCCTCCTCCTCCTCCTCCTCCTCCTCCTCCTCCTCTTCCTCCTCCTGCCCCTTCTCCGAGAAAATCCTCTCCGCCTCCCCCCCCGCCCATGCAGAGGACTGCCTGGAGAAAGCGAGGCGGTACACACTGGACCGGAAGCAATTCAACCGCCCCCTGGCTGCGAACCAGCTCATCCAGATGAAGATGGCCAGGGGGGGTCAAAGCAGGAGTGGGCTTTGCAGGAGAAGGAGGAGGAGGATGAGGAGGAGGAGGAGGAGGAGAAGGAGGAGGGCGTTGGGGGAAGGCGGGAAGGCGGAACAAGAGAGAGAGGGCAGGACCAGGAGCAGGGGGACAGAGTGAGGGTGAGCATGAGGGAGGAGAGGACAGGTGGCGCAGCCAGGAGGTACTTCTTGAGATTGTTCGACGCAGCATGCATCACGCAGCATGCACCATACAGCTTGCACCTCGCTGACTGCACCGCACAGCCTGCACCGCACCACACGGCCTGCACATCCAGAGGCTAAGAACTCACCGTCAAAGGAGTAGTGGACTGAAGAGGAGGAGGAGGAGGAGGAGGAGGAGGAGGAGGAGGAGGAGGAGGAGGAGGAGGAGGAGGAGGGGCGTTGGGAGCGTTTAGGGCCCACGTTTTGCCGACATCTTCCTGCCGAGCAGTGGTGAAGATGTGGGGAGGGGCGTCCAGGTGGCCAGGGCCACGGACACAGGATGCGGCGGCGTAGGGGGGAAGGACTCGCGTGGGGCGGGGAGAGGAGGAGGAGGAGGAGGAGGAGCAGGAGGAGGAGAGAGGAGGAGGAGGAGGAGGAGGAGGAGGAGGAGGAGGAGGAGGAGGAGGAGCAGGAGCAGGAGGAGGAGGAGCAGGAGGAGGAGGAGGAGGCGGAGGAGGAGGAGGAGGATGGGGCAGGCCAACAGCCTGACCGAGATCACCATCGGCCTCAACGCGGTGCTGCAGGCCAGATTCGCTTCGCCCCTCCGCCTGCCCTTCTCGTGGGCGCTGTCCGCGCATGCTCGCGGCTCTGCTGCGCCTGCTTGTGTCTGCGGGATGCGGGTGATGAGGAGGAGGACGAGGAGGAGGAGGAGGAGGAGGAAAAGGAAGGTGGAGGAGGACGACAAGGAGGAGGAGGAGGAGGAGGAGGAGGAGGAGGAGGAGAGGGAAAGAGGACGAGGACGAGGAGGAGGAGGAGGAGAAAAACGCCAGACCTCCTCGAGTCATCCGAACATCACGACGGGAGGCTTTTTCTCTCCAGCTTCGGCCTCTCGTGGCCCCTGCCGGGCCATCGGGGGCGGCGGAAACCGCCTCGGGGCGAAGAAGCAGCAGCCGGCGGGAGCGGGTCTCGAGACCTCTGGGGGTCGACGTGGGCACGTCAGGGGTTTGGGCACGCGGGGGCCTCGAACTCAGGTGCGTCCCGTCGGCGGGTGATCGAGGGAGCGAGCGAGCGGGGAGGCGACGGGGAGGCCTTCCCCAGGCGACGCGCATGAAGGAGGCGGGCAAGCTCCACTCCAACGTCATCTCGATGATGAAGAGGAACTCGTGCACCAAGGCGCGGGGGGGAGCAGGAGCGGAACGCTCGCCAGAGGAGGGCGGGGAGGAGCTGCAGGAGGAGCAAGAGGAGAAATACAGATTTTCTGTTTCCTCGCCCATCCGTCACCCTCCTCCATTCCCCCCTCATCCTTCCTTCTCCTTCTCGCCGAACTCCTCCTCCTCCTCCCCCTCCTCTCCTCTCCTCCTCCGTCCTCTCCTCCTCCTCCTCCTCCTCCCCCTCCTCCTCCTCCTCGTCCTCCTCCTCCTCCTCCTGGCCCTCTTCCTCCTCCTCCTCTTTCTCCTCCTCCTCCTCCGCCTCCTCCTCCGCCTCCCTTCCTCCTCTCCTCCTCCTCCTCTCCTCCTCCTCCTCCTCCTCCTCCTCCTCCTCCGCCTCCCGCCTCCGCCTCCGCCTCCGCCTCCGCCTCCGCCTCGCCTCCGCCTCCTCCTCCTCCTCCTCCTCCTCCTCCTCCTCCTCCTCCTCCTCCTCCTCATCATCATCATCATCATCATCATCATCATCATCATCATCATCATCATCATCATCATCATCATCATCATCATCATCATTTGGCTCAAGGAGCTCAGGAGCTGTACCCCCTTAAATTCCCAATTCCTCCCCCGCCATCTTTCCTCACTCCCTCCGGGCGCGCCGGATGGCCCTGGCGCGCTGGGGCGCGCGAGGGCATGCGCTGGCCGCGCTCGCTGGGGCGGGCGCTGCTGGCGGCGGGATCGGCCAGGCGGCCTGGTGGGCCCTCCAGGCCGCCCAGGACCCGCGCGTTCGCGAAGCGGCAGCGGAGGCGGGCGCTGCGGCGGGCGCTGCGGGCGCAGCTGCGGCCTCTGCTGCGACCGAGGCGGCGGCCTCATGGATGGAGGAGTCCGGCGCCGGGGAGGCCCTATGCTTCCCCCGCTGGCAGACCTACGTCTGCGTCGCCATCGCCTTCGGCTTCATCGTCATCACCAACGTCATTGTGGCCTGCTGCTGTTGCTGCGGCGTCGCGCCCCTCGGATTCATCGGGGGCCGGGCCTGGGCAGGCCGCAGCCCGCCGGCGCTGCGTGCCAGGGCCGCCTACCTCGCGGAGATCGCCGAATACGTCGAGGCCGGGGGCCCGGCTGCGGTCGAAGAAGCCGCCAGGCGCTTCGCAGTCCCGCCGGCTGGGCCGCGCCAGTGAGCTGGGCAGTCGAGCGGGCGCCGCCCTCCTTGGGCGGTGGGTGCGGGACCTGACGGAGGAGGGGGTCCACCCGCACCCCGGGCCGCCCGACTGGACGCGGCTCCAGGCCATCATTGGGGCCCGGCCCTCCATCAAGGCAGCATTAATTCGACGCCTTGTGCGGCCCGCTTGATGCCCGCGCGGCCGGCGAGGGGGCTGCAAGAGGCGTCGGTGGGGAAGCGGGAGCTGCTGGAGGAGGCGGTGGTGGCGATGACGGTCGAGGACCAGGCGCCGGGGCCGGGGTTGGGGCTGCGCTGAAGGAGGCAGGACACGAGGCGGAGGAGCTCGCGGGGGACAGCGACTTCGTGTCGGCGCTGGGCAGCGCGCCCGCCACCCCAAGAGGAGCGGCAGGAGGCAGCGGCGGCGCATCGGCCACGCGGCCGGGACAGCAGGCGGCCGCTGCTGGGCCTCCCTGCGTGGACGATTTCGTCCACGCAGCCGGCGCCTCCGTGCGAGCCGGCACGCGCTGGGGGCGCGCCGGGGCCGATGCCGAGGCCGCCGCGGGGGATGCCGGGGCAGCCGCCGAGGCCGCCGGGCGGGCGGCTGGGCCGGCCGCCGGGGCCGCCGCAGCAGGAGGAAGCGGAGGTGGCGCGCGGGTGCAGTAGGAGGGGGCGGCGGGGGCGAGGAGGCGCAGAGCGAGGGCGCCGTGCCAGCCTGCCCGACTCCGGAGGTCGGCCCCGACCTCGCCCTCCTGCGATTGCAACTCGCAGAGCGCATCTGGCAGCTGGACCCTCAGAGTGACCTCGGGTTGGACTTCCACACGCCGCCCGCCTCGCCCCCGCAAGCCACGCCTCCTGCGCTGGGCGAGCCTGCTGCCGGCGCAGCGCTGCCGCCGCCGCCCGTGCCCTCCGCCGAGGCAGACGGTGATGACCCATCCTCGGGGGCGGCCGCTGCTGGGGGCCCGCTGCCGCTGCCGCCCGCTGCCGCTGCTGGGGGCCCGCTGCCGGGGGCGGCCACTGCTGGGGACCCGCTGCCGCTGCCGCCCGTCGCCGGGGTGGAGGTGTGGGTGTGGGAGGAGCGTTTGGAAGCTGCCCCTGCAACCCCGCCTCGCACGGTCGGGCCTTGCAGAGCCCCGCCGCCAGCCGCCGCGCTGGTGCTGCCGGTGCCTGCTGAGGGGGCGGTGGCGCCGCCCGCGGATGCCGGCCTATCCTCGGGCTCTGGTGCGGTCGCGGTCCTCGTCGCGGAGTGCGCAGCGGTGCCCCTGGCAGGAGGAGGTCGAGGAGATGGAGGCGCTGGCGGAGGCGGAGGTGGAGGGGCTGCTGGGGAGGGCGGCCGCTTTCCTGGGGATGCCAGCCCATCCTCGGACGAGCCTGCTGCTGGTGCCGGGGCAGACGTGGTCCTCGTCGCGGGGGCTGGCGCTGCCCCGTCTGCCGCTGCCGCTGGCGCTTTGCTGCCGCTGCCGCCCCCGTCCGGCGGAGGCGCTCAGGACAACGGCGGCGGCGCAGCGGCTGGCGTCCCCGTGTGTGACCCCAAGCGGCGGTCTACTCGGCTGCCCGTTGCTTGCCGTGACTGCCGCCGTCGGTGCGAGAAGCGCTGCACTGTCTGGCTGTGCTCGGGCCGCCAGCGGGCTGCATGCAGCAGGTGCCATACCAAGCGCAGTCGGGATGCCGAAGGCTACTACGCGTGCGCCGAGCGCACCGCCGCCGAACGCATAGACGATGCAGCGCGGCTTGCGGCTCCTGCCCATGCCCCCGCCGCAGGCCTTGCTCTGCCCGCCGCGGCGGAGCCCGCAGCAGCTTTGGAGGACGTCGCGCCGCTTGCCCCGCAGCGCGCCCTGGTGGAGGCCGCCGTGGACGCGGCCGCCCGCGCGGAGTCGCTGGTTGCGGCAGGCCCTACACTGGGGACCGTTGATCTTCGCAAGCTGCCTAAGCACCTCGTCGCCCGCATGGCAGGTGCGTGCGCGGCTGCGCTCGGCAGCTTTGCTGCGGCCTTCTGGCAGCGCGGGCCCGGGTCGGAGGCCCATGCGCGTCATGCCTCCTTGTTGCTGTACCTCCTGCCGACGCTCATGGCGCACCCGACGCCGCGGGGCAGCGGGGAAGACGCTGGCGCGGCCCCTGGCGACGGTGGAACCCGGCCTGGGCGGGCGTTCAGTTCCGACGTGCGGCATCGCATCAAGCTTGCGGAGCTCGGCCGGGTTGCGGCGCTCCTCGGCATCTACGAGGCGTCGGTGCAGGCGTGGGCGGACCACGGGGAGCGGCAGCGCCTCGCCACCGGCGCACGGCCACCCACCTCAGCCACCCAGGCGCGTTTCCAGCGTGTGGTCGACGTCCTCAGGCGACAGGGGGCCGCCAGGGCCTTGCCGGTGCTGCGGGGGTTGCCCAGCGCGCCGCGCGATGAGGAGACTTTCGAGGCCATGCGTGCCTTGGTCGACGTACCTGCCGAAGACGAGGTCAGCGCGCAGGCACTCGAGGAGGCGGCCGCCATCCTCGCTGATGGCACTGTGAAGCCGATTCGCATTACGCAGCGCGACGTCGTGCGGGAGACCTACGCGCTCAATGCGGCGGCGGCGCCTGGGCCGAGTGGGTGGTCCAATTTGCTCATCCTCCGCGTGGTTCGGGATCGGGCTGGTCCAGCGGCGCTTGCTGCGTTTGGGGAGGTCGCCACGCACGGGCTCCTGCTGGAGGCGGATGCGGTCCTGTGGGGCGCCGCTGTTCTCGCGCCAGTGAACCAGGGCAAGCGCCGCCAGGACGGCTCCTGGAAGTACCGCCCGGTCGGCCTCATGGAGGCCCTCATGAAGCTCGTCGAGGGCGTGGCTGTTAAGAAGCAGCTGGCAGGGATCCGCCGGCGCGTCGAGCCGGCAGCGCTCGGTCTCACGCCCGAGGGCATACCCTTGTGCGTTAAGACGCTGCGTGCCTGGACAACGGACGCGGCAGCACCTGCTGGGGAGCGCGCGGGTGGCCCGGCAGGCGAGCGGCTGGACGACGGCGACGGCGGAGACAACAGCACCCTCGTGAAGCTGGACCTCGAGAATGCTTACGGCCGCCTGCAGCGCGCCGGCGCGCTGCGGCGCGTCCGCGAGGCGGCGGCGCCGCTCGCGAAGCTTCTGGCCATGCAGTGGCGCGCCGGTTCCTCCCGGGTCTGGATCCGCGTCGGCTCCAGTTGGCGGTGTGTCGTCACGTGGACTGGGGGCACCCAGGGGTCTTTCCTCATTAAGGTTGCCTTCGACATCGTCGCCCACGCCATCATGATCGGCGTCGTCGCGGAGGAGCGGCGCAGGGCGCCAGGCGGGCTGCCCGCCACCGTCGGCATCGCGGACGATTGGTACCTCGCGTCGTCGGCCTCCGGCGCCTTGCGAATCCTCGGCGACCTGCAGCCCCGGCTTGCCGCTGAGAACCAGCGCCTGGTCCCATCCAAGTGCGCCGCTTTCTTCCCCGCCGTCGACGCGGGCCTGGAACCCCTCAGCCGGCATGCCGAGCAGCTCGTCGCGCTCGTCTCCAGGTCTTTCGGGGGCCTGGAGGCGCTTGGCTCGGCCTTGCAGGGCCGGTGCGTCACGCGCATCCGCCCTGGCTGCGATGTCCGTGAGGACGGCCCTGCTGCAGCGCGCGCGGCGGAGGTCGAGGCCCTGTGCACGATGCTGCTGGACATGGTGCGGTGCGGCACGGATCCCCGCACTTGCCACGCTGCGTACACATTGCTGGCGAGGAGCGTCGCGAGAAGGCTGGATTATGACATGCGTTTGTGCCCTCCGTGGGCGCTAGAGTCAGCCTTGCGGCGCGTTTCGGCGGCAGTGCACGGGGTCATGGAGGCCCTTGCTGCGCAGCCTCTCAGCCCAGATCACGCTGCCGTCGCCGGCGTGCACACCATCCTCGGCGGCCTGGGCATTCGGCCGGCAGATCTCCAGCACGCGAGGGTTGCTTTCTGGGCATGCCACGTCTCAGTCGAGGTCGACGCGATTGCGGCGGCAGCTCGCCTCGGCCGCCCGGTTCCCAGCATCCATCCTGACGCGCCCTTGGCTGACCGGGCGCGTCGCGAGATGCTCGCCGCAGGCATCCAGATGAGCCCGGGATGCATCGAGTTCACGGCGGAGGCCCGCCTCGAGTATGAGGCCGGCCCCTGGGCAGCCGATCTACCGACCGAAGCGGTGTTCGACTTCCACGCCGAGGCCGACGACGTCCCAGGCGGCCACGTGCCGCTCCTGCAGGCGAGCCAGGACTACGAGGGCGTGTGGACTTGCCGGCGCCGTCTCGCCGCCCGGGCGTACCGCGGCCTCGCTGCCCTCGCGGCCACCCGCCTCTGGGCGCGCTTGCCCGCGGCGCGCCAGGCGCGGCTGCTGTCGGGCGGTGGTCTTGGAGCCGGCGCCTTTTGGAATGGCTTCATGCGCGAGGGCGAGCCGGCGCTTCACGACGCCGCCTTCGTGGTCATGTACCGGCGCCGGCTCCTGCTCGACCTGCTGGCGGCTCCGGCCGCGTGTGCCTTCCAGTACTCCGGCAGCGCCGGCGGCGACGGCGAGGGGCGCCAGGGCGCGCGCGGCAGGCCCCTGGACGTCGCGGGTCTCCACGCGTTGCACTGCCCAGTGGGGCCGCACCGCAACAGGCTGCACAACGAGATCGTCCACGCTTTGGCGGAATGGATCTCCGCCCACGGCGGTTTCGCCGATGTGGAGCGCTGCGTGCCAGAGCTGTACCGGGAGGCCGGCGGCGAAATCACCGAGGCGCGGCTCGACCTCGTTGTGAGTTGGCCGGGTCTGCCCACGCCGACTTGGGTCGACGTCACCGTTCGCTCGCCTGGGGAATCGGGCCCGGCTGTCCGCGCAGTCGGCCATGCGGCCATGGACGCGGAGCGGCGCAAAAAGGAAAGGTACGGCGACTCGGTCGTGGCCTTCGCGGTTGAGACCGAAGGCCGGCTCGGCCCCGCCGCGCAGCGCTTCGTGGCGGAGGTCGCCACCGCAGCGCGGCGCACCGCGGTCCTCCCAGGCGAGCCGATCGGCCGCCTCGGCGCGGACTTCGCGCGGCAGGTGTCGGCCAAGGTGTCCGGCGCCCTCACGGCGCGCCTGGCCGACCTGCTGCTGGCGGCGTCGCTCCCGGATGATGCTCCCGTGGGCGCCCTCCGGCTGTCCTGAGCGGCCGCTCGATTGTTTACTAAAGCCGTCTCTTGTTGGATGTCTCGCTGCAAGGGGATAGCCGTATCATCATCATCATCATCATCATCATCATCATCATCATCATCATCATCATCATCATCATCATCATCATCATCATCATCATCATCCGCCTCCCTCTCCTCCTCCTCCTCTTCCTTCTCCTCCTCCTCCTCCTTCTCCTCTGCCTCCTCCTCCTCCTTTTTCTCCTTCTCTTTCGCCATGCCCTCCACGGCCTCCACGCCT